CAGAATTCCCCAGCCAGAATATGCTGGCTGAGGAATTCTGGGAGTTGAAGTCCACACGTCTTTAAGTGGCCGAGGTTGGGAAACGCTGCTCCCGAGCGCTCTTCCCCAATCTGGTGCCCTCCGGGGGTAGCCCAAGGATTTGGAAAACTGTCACATCAGGAAAGGCAATTTGAGAGTGACAAAAATGTAAAAGAGGTAGTATTTCCGCCACAAAATAAGACCACAGGCCAAGCAGCCAAGAAAACATTGCTCCCCACCCTCCCAAGATGAGGGCCGGATGAAAATATTCAGCCCGCTTTTATTAATCTTTGCAGGGAATATCCATCAAGGAGATGCTTGCATTTTGCAGATGCCAAGGATCCGTTTTTTGTGTGCCTAATCCCCTCGCCTTCATTTCATGGGGAAGTTGCTTTAACAGCAAGAAGAAGGAAGGTCTATTCATTGAGGATCGCTTCTGAATTGTTCAAATGAACGGGGTTAGGACTGAGCTAATCACCACCTTGGGCGTTAAGCAAGATTTACTCGGTAACCTTATTTGGCACGCAGGCAAACCCAACCTATACTAGGAAGACTATGATTTGGTCTGGAGGAGAGGTAGGACCTCCATGTGGCATCTTAGGTAGGACCTCCATGTTACATGTCTTAGCGTCTTCACCTTTGATTTGGCTACTGGGGTGAGATGTAGCGAGGGCAGTGACCTTGGGAAAAGCTGACAGCCGTGTTAGGGGAGTCAGGAACAGCCACGGGAAGCGTAGAGAGTGATGACATGCAGCAACCAAACCTCAGTACACCTCCCATCTTTGCTCCTGCTTTGGAGGATCTTGAAGTTCTGGGAAACAGCCTCCGGGCATCAGAGGCTTAAGAAGCCCAAGCTGTTCTTCTCTTCTTCAATGTATTCTGTCACATTTTTCCGTTTGGCTTGTCTCCCGCCAGACTGGCCGCCGGCAGAGTGTAAACATGATTCTGAGCGCGAGGGCAGCGGTAGGGTTTTATCCCTGGCCAGCCTCAGAGGCTGCACAGAACTCGCTTTGGGAAATGTGCGGAAGGGGCCATCAGTAGCAGAAGGGGGGCTGGTGCTGTTGACCGAGGCATAGCCAGAGCTGGCCTCACGGGGAGAGGTTTGGATGGTGGGGCACTCGTTGCCCTCGTTGGGCTGGTCATAATGCTTGAAGATGTACTGACATCCTTCTTTGGAAAGGCTCTCTTCATCGCTGGATTCTTGGCAACAGCAAGGCTTCCCGGGATCCAGATGTGCTAGAGTTCCATCCAGAATTCCAGTGGGAGCTGTAACTACACAGCGGAAAAGAAGAAGAAGAAAACCCTTATGATAAGGTGGTCAAACGCATGCTGAGGAAATCAAACCGAGACTAAGCCAGGGCGATCTGCTTTTGGGCTCTAGAGCTAGCCGAGTTGGTTTTCTTAAAATTAACCTCCGGCAGAGTTCAGCAAAGGTTTTTCTTCCTTTTTATGTGACTGCCGTTTGTAAAAGAGAAATATAGAAAACCCAAGCTAAAGGAATAAATAAAAAAGCCTGACAGCCAACACATTAATTAGTTATGGAAAGGTAGTAGCCAAGCAAGGAAAATAAAACATTTAAACAGGAAAAAAAAATGTAACATCTAACATGTTCATTAGTTATGAATGGTAATACCCAAAGAAGGAAAATAAAATGTTAAACAGAAAAATAGCAGTAATATTCAAGACGTTAATTATGAAATGGTACTAGCCAAAGAAAATAAAAGTTAAACCGAAAAAAAACCAGTAATATCCAATACATTATAAAACTGTAATACCAAAATAAAGAAAAATAAAAAAATAAAAGTTGAACAAACAGAAAAAAACTAAAAAAGTAACATACTAAATTAAAATATATCACCTAAATATATCACATATTCATTTAATCATTTAATCATGATGCACGAAGCTGTGCATAAAAATTTCTCTGGAATTCAGCAAAGTTTGCCAGCAGAGAGACCAAAACTAGTGAAAAACATTGTCCAAAGAGTTGAAGTCTAGCATGGTTGGCTAATCTTGCCCACTTATGCTTTTTAAAAACATAATTTAAAAAAATGTTATCTTTGAAGCTCAGCAGATGCCGTTCAGGGCCACGGGGACAATCGTGACGTCAAAGGGGTCGCAGTACTGACTGTAACATACAGTGAGCAAACAAACTCAAAATAAAATAAGCCACCTTGCATGATTCTGTTTCTACGGTTCATAATTTTCTGCCCTTCCACACCATCCAGCTATTTCTGTATGGTTTACAAAATAAAGAATCCAAAGCATAAAATATCCAAGCTGAGCGATGAAACTAAGATCTGGCCACAGAATTAAAGGAAGAATGAAAGTACAGTGGTACCTTGGGTCACGAACGCTTCTGTTCACGAACAATTTGGGTCACGAACAGCACCGTTCGCAAAATTTTGCTTCCATTCGTGAACTCCGCATCGGGTGACGAACACCACCCGCGGCCATCTTCCCTGCTCTGACATGTGGTCGTGGCTTCCTGTAGGGAGGGGGACTCTCCCTCCAAACCATAACCGCCTCCCCACCCGCCTTCCTGTCCTCCACACCAGAAGTCGCCTTGAGCAAGGTTAGTGTTCTCTCTCTTCATACTATACTGTGCTGTACTTTGTTTCATATTTTTGTGGTTTTAAAAAAAATACATATGGTTCAGAACGGATTAACCGTATTTGCATTGAACCTTATGGGAAAATTTGATTTGGGTCCGCCTCCCCACCCGCCTTCCTGTCCTCCACACCAGAAGTCGCCTTGAGCAAGGTTAGTGTTCTCTCTCTTCATACTATACTGTGCTGTACTTGGTTTCATATTTTTGTGGTTTTAAAAAAAATACATATGGTTCAGAACGGATTAACCGTATTTTTATTGTAACATATTTGGAAAA